GTCACATTATAACGCCCCCACGGCTGAAAGGGCGAGCATGTTTGGTGTGACGGGGACTCGAACCCGCGACCCTCAGATTGGGAGTCGAGTGCCTTAACCACCTGGTCATGCCGGGCCGTGCGTAAAGGAGGTCAAGTGGTATGAGAAAAGCCCTCAGTGACTTAGCGTTAAGCTTACACGCTAAAAATTGGATTTTGATACCGGTAGTGGGCACAGCGTAGATAGCCCATTATGAATAGAGCCAACTTCTAAAATAATGTAAAAGTTAGGACGTAAGGTTCTGAATTCCAATCAAAAGATCTAAAATTAAAAAAATAGTGTTCATATATTTTCACCGTATCATAAGTAATTTAAGATAAGTACAACATATGATGGTTGTTATAACTACAATAATTATTTTGTTCTTGACTTTTTCTTATGTCGTGTAGCACAGGTAACAGAGTTATTTGTATACTGATCTTTGAAAAATAAGTTTTGTGGTTATATTTCAAACAAAACAAGACAGCCATTGAATATATTTACCACTTTTAATGTTACTCTAGCCTTCTTCCAACATCCTTTCAAGACTACTGAAACAGTGTTTCTACACAAATATGCGAGCGTAATCTATGAAATATAACACAATTTATTGAGTTAAAGAGCTAATTGAAGAGTCGGGCGTAAGGTTTTTATATGCTTTTGTTTGATTTTTTTTTTTTACATGTAGACAATCAGTTCTCGCTTTCACCCACACCCTCTTGTTCAAACTGATGCTGTACTGAATCTGGATGAAGACGCTGTTCTCACTACAGAAGAGGTAGTCTTGTTTTCGTTTACAGTTTTCTACTTACAGTGTAGTGTGATAATAAGATTTAACAACAAAACTGTTCTTGGTTGATTTATCAATTGTTTGAGCCTCCCAATGGCACAACGGTAAGTCTGAAGGCTTATAACTAAAAACCGGGTTTCGATACCCGTGGTGAACACAGCACAGTAGCCCATTGTGGTACTTTGTGCTGAACTTTCAATCAATCTACATATAATTTCCGTCAAACATAATTCTAACATGATTAATCCTTATTTTTCAACTCGACTGCTCAGGAAGAGTTTGAATGTGTTTGTTATTTTTTAAATCATTATCGTTACAAACAAGAAAATATAATCATTAGACACTGTACTTCAACTTAAGTCAAATTTCCTCATGCTATTATAGTACAAGGAGTTATTTCAGATTTGCAATGTGTCGTTTGAGATTCATATTAATTAGTAACCAACTGAAGATGATTCAAAATAATATCACTTATTAAATATCTCTGCAGGTGGACTTTGCTTTTAAAGTGTGGCAGTCATATCCAGAAAGGATTGTTGGATACCCTGCTCGATCACATTACTGGGAAGACAGTAAATCCTGTTGGGGATATACTAGTAAGTGGACCAATGAATATTCGATGATCCTTACAGGGGCTGCTTTCTACCACAGGTAAGAACACATGTTAAATTGAAACTGCTGTCATATTTCAAGTGCGATTTATTGAAACTAAGGTTCCATACTGAAAATGCCAGCTGACCACAAAACAACTGCCGTAAACTGCTAGTTAGTTCAGTTGTATTTTGGCCACTGATTTGTTCTTGTTTGTTGGAACCTAGTGGTTGATGCACTGGTTCTGAATGGAACCCGATAGCGTACTGATTCTTGCGGGACTTCAATGAAGTGCTGGCTTCTAATGAATTTACTCGCATATTGGATTTTACGAGAATTCAATAGTGTGCCGTTTCTTATGGAATCCATGGTTCGTAGGCTCGTAATGCATGCTGGCTTTTTCACTTGAATTTACTAGTGTACTGTTTTTTATTGGAACCTACTGGTATATGTTTTTTTGCTGGTATATATGTTAATATTAATTAAATCTGATGATACTCTAGTTATTAATAGTTCCTACTGGTTTACTGGTTTTTACGGAAATTCATTAATTTACCGATTCTCACTGGAATCCATCAGTTCGTACTGATGTACTGTTCTTATTGCAACCCACCAGTTCGTAATTGAATCTACTGATGTACTGTTCTTACTGGAATCCACCAGTTCGTAATTAAACCTACTGATGTACTGTTCTTATTGGAATCTATTAATATATTTGCTCGAAATTTAACCTACTGATCTACTGTTCTTATTGGAATCTACTGGAACTCAATTGTTTACTGGTTTTTACTGACATCTACTCCCAAACTACTTTTAATGAAACCACTGTTGAAACGGTTTTTAAGGAAACTTTTGTAAACTGGTAATTAGCTGGAATTATTGAGTTTATCTTATAAATATTGTAAAAAACAACAACATTGATTCTGCATATCCATTGTTATAAGCAAACAACTCCCCAGTTAATAATAATAAATCGTTTTATCTGTTAAATTTTGTTGGTTACCATTAAGATCTAATCCTTCGTTCGTAGTGACATTAAGACACTGGTTATGGAAACGAACAAATATATTTTTCATTGATGTATTAACTGTAAGTATAATTGACACTACCTTAAGATATTGTAGCAACTAACTCAAATGTCGTAGATAAAAACCCTATATGAAAGGTTAATGTAAACAAAGATTCATCTTTACACTGCTGAGTGATTAAAAAGAGTGCCATTATTACACAATTTGCGCAAGATTATTTTACACTTTACCACGATGTGTAATCTTTCTGGTTCTTAACAATGGAAAATTTAATTTCTTCTGCCTTTAAATTTTCATTAAAGTTGCTTAGTATATGGGAAACTTTATACTAAACTCGTAAATTAGTTGTAAATATATTTTTAATTCATGGTATCTTACTGAACTTTTTGAATCGTTTGAATACAAAATAATAAAATAATTGATCGAACATATCTATAGCCATATATGTTGCTTTCAGATAGGCAGTTTTCGTAGGTGTTATCTTTTTAATTCAATGCTCAGTGAATTCGTTTAAGTTCGGTTACTGTTACTGTAACATAATCATATCTTGATGTAAATATAAGGATATTTATTCTTTCAAAAATTCAAATTAATGTCACACTGTCTCAGTGTTATGAGATCTCTACCAAACTATTACTTTTATACAGTGTAAAATATTTATATCTCGGTGTTTTGTTTGATCAATCTCTTAAAACATCCAAGCAGTGTGATGACGCTAGTGGTAGGGTAAATAGGAGTTGGGACTGTAACTACAGAAATACTGAATATAAATCTAAATAGGTTATTATTTCATTATATAAGTCATGGTGAGGTCTCACTTGGAGTGCTATGTTCAGTCTTGGGCTCCTTATACATTCAGTTGTTGGAAAGGGTTTAGAGGAGGGTTATTAGGGTGATATCTGGAATGGAAATCTTGTCATACGAGGACAAGTTGAGATGTTTAATATTGTTTTATCTTGAAAAAGCTAGATGGGATTTGAGTGAAGTGTCCAGGATTATAAGGGAATTGATGATATCGATGCATCATTTTCTTCGTATTTAATGACGAGAACTGTAGGGCAAAGGGACACAAATATAAACTTTGGCAGGGTAGGATTCATCTTCAGTTTAGGCAGTTTTACTTTTTAATGGGGCGGTTAGTTTTTAGAATTGGTTTCCTTTAGGTGTAATGAAAGCAGAAAATTTAAGGAAGCTTAAGGAAATGCTCGATAGATATTTAAATGATTAGGGGTACATTTATTTGAGGTGTTTTATGTTCTTTCGATTAGACAGTCTCTTTTCCCCCCGTAAATGTTATCTATCTTATACAAAAAGGCATTGTGTGTCACGTCACGTCACGCTTGATTTCTCTAAATAGGAGTTATAAAAGCCAAAATGCATTTATCTGGATAGAATATTTCGATTATTGTCTGCCCATTACAATTTTAGTGACGGGGGGTGCAAGGGGCCTTGAGAGGAAGTGTTGCCGTGAAACCTGATAAGTGTTGGTATAATAGGTCTATAGTAACGATGTAGTGTGGGATCACCTAGGCTAAAGCCAAGTGCATAAAATTTATCATGAAAGTAAAAATATCGATTCAATTCTAAATTTAAATAGTTTCTGAATTAAGCTATTTTCTGTTATATCACCAACGTTTTTAGTATAAAAAAAAAACCTCTTTAATCAAAGGAGACTCTAAATTAAGAAATCAACATATAATTTTTCTGAATTAAGCTATTTTCTGTGATATCACCAACGTTTTTAGTAAAACAAAATCCTCTTTAATCAAAGGAGACTCTAAATTAAGAAATCAACATATAATTTTTCCAGTTTTATTGTCTCTACATTTCATTTTATACTTTCAGTACATAAACTAACAACAGTATTAGGTTATACTTTTGTTGATAAGCGACATGGCATAAAAGCCACTGTTGGAACGCAATGTTATCAAAACGCATTGGCTTTTCTATATATTATAAGTTGTTAACCTAACTGATTCTTACCAATAATTATTCTATGAATACGCCAAGAATTCATTTCATGCATAATCTTAATTTTGATTGGCTCACAAAGGAATTTATTGATGTTTGACTGCCTCAACTATACTTTTCTGCCCCTTTGTTGGTCAAGCTTGATTTCGCAAAAGTTATTTATTTCAGTTAGCTATGAAATGTGAGGTTAGGGTATACTATAGGGTGGTCGTGGTAGTAATTGCCCCTCATTTTTGACAGGCTATACGCTAGTGTTATTCTACAAACACTACTTAGTCAAATAAACACGTAAAAATAAAATTGTATATCAATTTTTGTTGTAATTAAAAACTCTATTTCATATTTTTTCATAAACCCTTTCCTAAGCCTGCCCTCCAGTGGCACAGCGGTATGTCTGCGGTCTTACAACGCTAGAATCTGGGTTTCGATATCCGTGGTGGGCACAGCACAGATAGTCCATTGTGTAGCTTTGTGCTTAATTGCAAACAAACAAATCCAAAGCCTGAGTTTATCAATTAACGCGGCAGAAGCAGATTTTGATAAAACAATAGCTCTTTGTTTATAGAAGAAGACCAACAACAACGGTGAATTATAAAATTCTGATGTAGTTTTTATCAGTTGATAAACATCATATTTGGAGATACAACGTACTAAGTGTGTTAATAAGTTCACCCATGCAGTCCTTCATTCTCTCTCTTGTATATTATCTTCTAAATAATAACAATGAAGTAAACATCTTTTTAAGACACCCTGATCTATCTGCTGGTCCTATATTTGACAATTTTTTATAGCTCTAGCTCTACAATAATTTTGTTTACCAATGCACAATTTCTGAAGTTATATTAAATGCAATCAGTTTCCTTTTTGTTGTTTTTTTACAGACTGAAGAAAATGTAAAATCGAAAACAAAATTTATAGACAATAATCTGGCATCGTTTATTTTCAGGTACTACAACTACTTGTACACTTTCTATCTACACAACCTATTGCACAAAACTGTGGACCAATCGCAGAATTGTGAGGATATTCTGATGAACTTTCTAGTCAGTCATGTAACCAACTTACCACCAATCAAAGTGACCCAACGAAAGCAATACAAGGAAACCATAGCAACAGATGGCAAAACGTACCCAACTCCTTGGAACGACCCTGACCATTTTGTCCAAAGACAGATCTGCATGAACACCTTTGTTGACACATTTGCATACATGCCTTTAGTGAGATCAAGTCTTCGCCTCGATCCTGTACTCTTTAAAGATCCTGTGTCTAATTTACGTAAGCGGTACCGGAAACTGGAGCAGGAAGGCTGGAAATGAGAGTTAAGAACGTTTTTAAGTGCCATTACAGTGTTTGTAAAAAAACAACAAAAACAAACAACGGCGTTGACCAAGATCTGATTCTGTTAATAAAAATAAAAGAAAGGAGCTCTTTGGTTGGTCAATCTAATGTTCAGAAAAACAGCAATAATAAAAACCTGATTTTTATGCTGTATTGATTATAGCTCCTCAGTCTGACTATTGAACTTGTAGACAAGGTCAGCTGTCAATCATGTGCCACCTAATAGTTTGACCACACCTATCTTGATTCTTCAGAATATTCACATGTTAAAATGTAAATAAACAACAATATACATATAATACTACACCTAAGTTAGAATAGTTCCTTCGCTCGCCGTGCTTTTTGTCTTATCAATAACTCAGTCGCATGTTGACCTGTGATCATTCAGTACGAAAGAAAGCTATGCTCCATATGAAATATATTATTCATCAAGAAACACTACAAGATAAAAAAGAGCACTATTTATACAGAAAAAAGATAGTTATCCGTTCTGATAGTAAAAACATTTGGTTTCCATGGCAACGTGCAGAAACTTTCGTGGAATCTCAGACTCACGATACGCTTCTTCTTGAAGGTTATTTTTCAGTCTTGGTGAGAGAGTCTAGTTGACATCTGGTATCAGCTACAGCCTCGTGAAACGGAGTGAGAACTGGTAAAAATCCTATAGCTTATGGAACACAAAATAGTACACTTTGTTAGAAAAACAAATCAAAACGCTAGCATTAACTTATCACAAACTAATTAATAAAAGTATTAATGTAACTTAATAAAATTTTGCTTTATTATCAATGTGATATAGGAAATATGAATTTTCCAAGTGTATTTCCGTATGCTTATGCAGATAGTGAAAATTTCTGCATATAATTTAAAATGACGATACATCTTAATAATTGGGCATGTAATTTCATCTGTTTACATATCTCGTGAAAACATAGCTATTTAATATTTTCAATATATTTAAGAAATATAAGTGTACTTTGCAGATCAGTCAAACATTTCCATATTTGAGACTAATAAAAGATTTATTAGAACAACAACATTTTAATTTTTTTTATGTGAAACGCTTTTAAAATAATAATTGACTTCAGTTTTCTAGAGATCTAATGCAAGTTCACCACTGTGTAACACGACAAGACTGCATATTTTGAGAACTAGAAACCTAAAACTTTATGTTCTGCTATTCCATGTTATAAAGTTGACATCCTCTTTTAAAGTAGAAGATTTGTATTTAATGTGTTTCTTGCTCTTAAGATAATTTACTAAACAACAAGAATTTAAAGGTGAAAAGCCCCCCAGTGGCTTAGCGGTATGTCTGCGGACTTACTACGCTAGAATCCGGGTTTCGATACCCGTGGTGGGCATAGCACACATAGCCCATTGTGTAGCTTTGTGCTTAATTACAAACAAACAAAAACAAACAATTTAAAGGTGAAAAAATGTTATCGGTTATCTCTTCAAGTGTGGTCGAAACCAAATAATACAAAATTGTAAACAGTTTAGCTTATTTAGTAATAATTCTTATATTTTGTACTGTCAGTTTCGGTTTATGTTTTAGTGAACGCTCCTGTAGAAGCTGTAAAGCGAAACGTTGAGTGTCTAATTAAATAAAAGCAACAATTTGGTGTTAAAAGTGGCGTTTATTTCTATTATTGATAATAAGAAAATTGCCCCTTTTAATTAAAGAACCAGTTATTACATTTATTGTCTCGAGCTGAAACTTATAATATAATCACTTGCAAAACGACAGAGGCCTGAAAAAAAAAACATATTTCGTATCGCATACTGTCTTTTCAAATGATTACATCTTATACTGTAAAATTAAAATAACAACAACAACCTCGATTAAGAAAGTGTTAATTACTAGAATACAACATGCAGCTTAACATATATCAACATGGTGTATTCTGTAAATATGACTATAAGGAATATTTTATTTATTGACTTTGAACGATGTTTTTCACGTACATAATTTTGATTCTTTGTATTCACTAGTGAAAAACAGCGCATTTATAATGGGTATGTATAAAAAGTAGAAAGTTTATTTATTACGACCAATAATCTGATTAAAACTGTATGATTAGAAAGTTGAGTACGTTATATTAAAACAATTGTTGGAGCCTCAAAACGTCGTTGCAGTCCATTTCGCCACTTTCGATCATGCTCTATATAAAAACTGCTCATCTTGAAAACAGCCCTGCAGCGTATTTTCCATAGTAAAAGGCTCGGTCGTAGGGCTGTCTTTTTAGAAGTACACTCCTCTCTGCAAGCATTCCATAATCCTTCTAGCGTGAGACGGTGTTTATACAGCAACCGTTTCAATCGAATGGAAGAGCACAAATGGCCGTTTCTTCTTTCTCCAACTGCTTGGTATGTGACAGTTTAATGGAAGGTTATGACTAAAACATTTATTTTGGTGAGCCCGTAATCTGTTGTTGTTGTTTTTTCAGACAGAGATACTGTTGGGTACTGTTGCTTGGAGCACGTGGGTAGCTTTTGCCATTAACTTTTCTGTTCATGGATTCTCACTTGTTACAAGATAACGCATTTTGCTTACAATGGCTGGGATATGACTTGTTGCACACACTTCCCAAAAGCATCACACTACCTTCGTAATGCCAAGCAATGTGATAATATAGTTCTGATTCGTTCCGTTCCACCGCGACTTTATACCGGCTGTGATTGTCGTGTGACTTGCTGATTTGCATATTGAAATTTGTTTTAATACAACTTACTCAACTCTCATTATAATGCTATTTCATAAAATTGCATGCATGCGATTAAAGAACTAAAAACTCAGCTGTCATATTAGTTTCAAATTAATGGTATTGTATTTGAATTGATAAAATGTTTTGGATTGGATTATTTTTAAAGTTCAGTTTGAACATTCTCAGTTCCTGTTGTTTTTAAGATTCAACCTATGTTTAATGCCTTTAGTCTACAGCATTTCTATCTGAAGACTACTATCATTATTATAATAGCGTTGAACTGTTGGTTAAAATTGAAAGGAGACTTAAATTAGAAACTCTAATTGCAATTTCATTTTATGCTGTTTTCTGAAATACATACGTTGACACAAATATCTGTTGAAAAAATACAATTTGTTTGCATTAAAAATCACAATTTGATCACTTGTTCATTGAAGTGTCTTTGATTTATTGAATAGAAATAAATTATGAATCTAAGTTTCAAATAGACAGCCTGTTGTAGAAACCTACAAATGTAGAGGACGACGTTTCGAAAGTCTTCCGCCTTTCGTCTTCTGGCAGTTGCTGTCTATTTGAAACTTAGATTAATTATGAATACTCTGCCTAAACAACCTAGCAAAGATTAGAAAAAAGTAATTTGTATTAATGCTTTTGTGAAAGTGCCCGATTTCCTTCCCGTCACTCATAAACTATTTTCTTCTAGCCTATTTAATCTATCAGGTTAATCCGCATTTGATGTATTAATATTTTAAATTATAAAGCGTTATGGTTTAAATGCGGATGTAACCCTTTAATACATCTTGTAAACGCATATTTTGTGGGGTGCCTTAATTAGGCTCCGGTTTCATTGCAATAATTCAAAACTCTAGGACAATACAATTATTCAACTCTTTTGGAAGGTGAAGTCAATGACAAATTAACTAAAAAAGGGGTTATTTGAGGCTTAATTTTAAAACCCTCTGTATCGGATTTCGTCCAAAGACAACGTAAGGACCTCAACAACTTGTTTCTTTTATATCTAAATAGGTGAAAAAAATACTTTTCTGATAACTGTTTTTGTGTATACAGCTTCTAAATAACCACTATTTCCGATGAATACGATTTTGTTTAAAACAACAACAACCGTATTTACGACAAATGTCCGCCGCTTAACGATATAGACACCAAATCATTATGTATATTTTATAGGTTTTGTTATTAAACATTTAATGTTGAATATGCCATGACGGTTGAAGCAGATAAGTTGAATGAATTAATATACATTTTTTATCTATTCCTTATTTAGAAATGAACAGCGCTCTACCATAAAAAATGGTAATTTGTATGCTACTTAAAAAAGGATGTTTAAAAAAAACTATTCTCTAATTAGTTAAACTGCTTAGTTCTATTCATAGTTGGCTAGGATCTTGGAAAAAAAATCCATTTAGAACAACAGATTTAGATCGGATATGTTTCAGTTTATGACATTAGAAAAATAGTCACATGTATAAGAAAAAGTCTGATTTCAATTAGTTCGAACGTTGCTGTTGATATTGAGTGAACTTATTAAAAATAAATACCGTTATCAAAAGATAACACTAATGTTGCTTCACGAGATTCGTTAGAGTCATGACAATAGTTTATAAACTTCAGTATTTTGTTGAAGTATCTGTTAGAGAATGAATGAGACGCTTTTTTTTACATAATTCTTTGTGCCATTGTTGTGAGGTATTTCTGCCGAAAAACCAAATTCAGAGACAAGACAAATCTCAGCATCTGAGAGGTTGATTAAAGCTACAGGTAACAGCGGATCTGAGTTATTGGTTGTATTATGCATCTTGGCTTGAGAGATACTAAATTCAAAATTACCACGTCAACATATATCGGATAATATTATTTCAGAAGCCCCCCAGTGGCACAGCGGTATGTCTGCGGACTTACAACGCTAGAAACCCGGTTTCGATGCCCGTGGTGGGCAGAGCACAGATAACCCTTGTGTAGTTTTGTGTATAATTAAAAACAGACAAACAAACAAAACATTATTTCAGAAAGTTTATTTGTATAAACAAGATAATTATACATTGATATTTGTATCTTTGTCTTTAAGAAAATTAAATGTTAAACTATGCATAGCAATAATATTTGCATACTTCCTGCTTCAAAACCTATCTATATTATATTTTGTCTCGTGATACATTTTTCTTCCATGAATTTGGTGCTTAAACCATTCATGACATTTGAAGAATTTATAGTTACAAAGTTTCATATAGTCCCCCAGTGAAACGACGATAATTCTACGGACTTAAAACGTTAAACTTTTGGGTTCGAACCCCCGCGGTGGACACAGCAGAGAGCCTAATTTGGTTTTGCTGTAGAAAAACAACAACAAAAGTTTCATAAACTTTCCACACCCTCTCCCTGTGGCTCGGCGGTAAGTCTGTGGGCTTATAACGCCAAAAATCGGGCTATCTGTGCTTAACTACAAACAAACAACTTTTCAAAAATAACAATTAGCCCACCCTCATTGGTAAGTAGCGTTTGTCTTACCCCCTCGTGTTAATGATTTTAGTGTTCTAGGCTGTAACATTAATAACTAAGAACATTTCTCATTTATGTGAACCTTTTCACATAGATAAGTTAAACACTTAATTATGCTTAATAAAACAAATAAGGTGAAAAATCGTCAATGTGAAATAAGTTGATTAACAAATACGAAAACAACGTTTCAGGCAACAGCCATTATCGGGTTTTTAGTGAGAAAAACTTTTCACAATCATAATTTGATTTTATACTAATTGAACCTTATTTGCAAGCAACGTCGTCACTTGACGACCGAAAATTGAAAACAAAATTTTCAAATTTTTTTCTTCCAACAATTTAAATCTGTTAGTAGCTTGTTTTATTTAGAAAATCTCAAAGGTTCTATGTCTTTTACTTTATAAAATAGTAGAAACACTTTTCGGAGCGTTTTGTAATGAAAGCAACGAAAAGTTTGATATTGTTGGCCGCTGCTCAGCTCTGAGTTTTTTGTTTTTTTTCAAATACAGACTTTTAGTTCACAGTTCCATCTTGAGATCCAATTACAACGACGGCTATTGGAGACTCCCTCTTGTTTAAAATGAAGGGGAGAAGATCTGTAAGATAAATACGTTAAACGTTGACGTACTATATGACTTTTTAAATTTAAAATGCCAGGATAGAAAATTTGAATTGCCCCCCCCCCCAGTGGCACAGCGGTATGTCTGCGGACTTACAACGCCAGAATCCGAGTTTCGATACCCGTGGTGGGCAGAGCACGGATAGCCCATTGTGTAGCTTTGTGCTTAATTACAAACATAAAAAAGAAACTTTTAAATTTCCCAATTCAACATACTAACCACAAACAATTTACGACCAGAAAGAAATATGTAAATGTACAATTACTAATTATAACTAAACACTAAAGAACCTCGTGTTTCTCGAGCAAAAAACTTCAACATCAATATATATTTTAAAGCCATGTGTCGGTCTATCACCCTAGATTTGTCCAAATTTCGTGAGTTACACGATTCAAGTTCCACTTTTTCTCCTATAATACTTCCTCTTTTGATTGCCCGTTCCCATCTTAGTTGAATTTAACCGCTAACATAAGCGTAAATAGTTCCTAAATTTCGGCACTTTTTTCTACTATATAAAAGCCTGTTAAGAAGAGAGATCCCAGGACCAGATCAGGCATGGCGTTACGTGTGTGACACCACATCATCCACATCATTATGACGTCAAGCTAGGTAGGATCCGAATAGGAAAGCCTAGAAAGCTCCTGTGAAAAATAAGTCAAAAATTAGCGCAAATCTATGCATGGGAATTATTACGAAAAAACCTATGTTAAACAGACTGAAGATACTTTTTCTCAGTAGAAGAACAGGTGTGTATGCAATCACGTGGTCATCGCATGTTTTAATCTTTTATCCAAAGGCACCAATATGTAGCATGTTTACACTCTTTAGGTAAAAGAGATATTGCTCATAATAGGCTTTGGTTTCCCAAAGCTAGAAAGCCATTTATTTTTCTTATGTTTGTTTACTGGCGGAAAAATTGCAAATGCACGTTGAAGGGTTCAAATTTGGAAGGCTTTTACGTCACTCTTGGCGGGATTTTATGCTAGTCAATTCATAACAGATTAGTTTTATATATAATTATTTGCGTCTACGATTAATGAATATATTATTGAAGCTAAACAAACCCAAATCCAGATCTTATGTTGTAGACGTAGGGAAATATCAACAGTTCGATTAATAAATAAGGTTTGTTTACACAGCAAAATGCATGACTGGTGGTTAGGACGCCCCATTCGAATCCCCGTCCCACCAAACATGCTCGCTCTTTCAGCCTTGGGGGCGTTATAATGTATCAGTCAATCCCACTATTCGTTGGTAAAAGAGTAGCCCAAGAGTTGGTTGTGCGTGGTGATGACTAGCTGCCTACCCTCTAGTTTTTCACCTGTTAAATTACAGACGACTAGCGCAGATAGCCCTCGTGTAGCTTTGCGCTAAATTCAAAACAAACCGAACCATCTACAAATTATCAATCCTATCTTTTCTATGCTTTACAATCTATCCTTGAATGCGGTAGCGTCGCATTTGTTATTTATGTATATACATATTGTTAACGGTTATCATTTCACGTACTTATTCATTGCATTTAGTGCCAAAAAGTCCACTAATGCGTCGAACTATGTTTTAAAAACATTGTGCGCCGTGGAAATTATTACATCAACCACAAATTTTATATTTCTAAAGGAAACAATATAATCAAGAGATTAGCTTAAATGTACTGTAATTATAGAAGCTATTATGTTACAGCAGACAGTATATTACCAGTTATAATTAAACTTCAATATCATTAGTGCAGACAGTAAGTCATTCAATTTAGTAAAATTTCTTTCTCACTCGTTCAGATTACAGACCATTGAGTCAAACAAGAGCGTTTCCATAACATGACAACAGTATGTTTTTAGTGCTGTGGCCATTCTCAAAAAGGGGCCTAGAAATTGGAGGTACCCCTCCTCATGGTAGAACAAAACCAACCATATTTTTAACGCATTGGTATGTTATCAGTATGGAATGGATGGTTGTGAAAAAATAACCCGTTTTCACATGTATTTATGTATGGATATTCATAGGTACCATAGGTAAAAAATTGTGCTGCGGAACGCCGCATCGAAAATCATGAAAATTCTAATACCTCTGTCAGTTTTTGTGATATCTTAAGAAAAGATGTACCAAAATGAAGCTTATATAAAGGCTTTCAATACTGTAATTTATGTTATTCGTATGATTAATCTGGCATTGTGATGAAATATGCCATTTCTGTAATGATTTTTTTTTTAATTTATACCCTAACACTATTTATAATATTTCATCGTTTAAGGTTCTTTTTGGCAGAACAAGGCACAACTATGTTTT